TTGGTGTCCTGCATGGAGCAGAGGGTTGGACCTTCTAGCCCCTTTGACTCCACTATTCTATGATGCGAAGTATTGATGCTTCATTGCTATGGTGAATTAGAAAGCTAAGCTGTTTGATGCTGCTGTGATATTAATAGCATGTTAGCCAACACATTTAAAAGGATTCCACCATTTCTTCTTATGTTTAGTGTCTGTTTGCAGGATAGAAGGGCTAGAATTTGTAGTCAGGGAAAGTATCTTCCACCTGCTGCAGCCAGCAAAAAGTTGCATTCTCTTATTTTGATTTTAATTCTTTATTTTTCAAAGCATTCGCATCCACGTAAATGACCTTGCGGTGAAGAGGTGCATTTGGAAATTGCCACGATCAAATGAGGCCCACAGCAGTTGAGTATGCCTATTTCAATTAACCCTTTGAAGAGGCAACTACAACTTAGATATGAAAAAATAGGAAAAGGATTTCAGGATGCTACCTAGGCAGAAATTCATAGCTATCCCATGTCTATCTGCATTATGGTATCTGAAAAACAAACACTGATTCACAGTAATATCGGTACAATCAGTAAGGAAATGATCTACAGCTGGATGTGTGAGCGGAGTTTTCTTGGATTCATCAGTGGATGAATCAGTAAACCGCTTTGCCCCGCAGAAGCTCGATGAGCGCTCTGCAGCGGACACGTGAGCTGCAGCTGCTTCAGCGCTAGGCCACGTGCTCCTGCAAGGACCACAGCCCAAGATGACGCTTCCCTTCTCCAAGGTCTCTCGGGAGGCCATGCACAGTGGGTTTGTCAGCAGATCTGCTTTTCCCATATGCTTCCTCTGTCTCTTCTCGGGTGCTAGGTCACTACCCCAACAGGTTAGCTCATGTATGACAGGGTGGAAAGATACACAGCACAAAGGGGAATGATCCAGGTCTGAGATCAATGACTACGACATCAAAGCTAAGTCCCAAACGTCTGGTCTCCAAGCACGGCACCTTTCAGCAACGCCCCGTCCCGTGGCATCCGTGAAGGCCAAGCGTACAACGGTGTACCATCGTTGCTTAAAAGTGGGAGGGAGCAAGTTCCCCGGCTCCCAAGAGTGAGTTTATTGGGAACGGCATCGTGGAAGGGGATGGGGTTCGCAGGCGCTTCCCCTCCCCATTCTATTGGTTTTCGCTCAAGACACCTGAGAAAAAGAGAGAGGACTTGATTTGTCTCTTGGTGGTGTTACACTGTTCTGGGTGTGTTTAGGCGAACCGAAGTGGCAGGGGTTGTTTGAGGGTTAGAGGGGATAAATGCTTTGGGTTACGTGAGGGTTGCCTACTCTTCAGACAGCCCTGCTAGCTGGGTTTGCATGACACGACAAGCCAGGTCCCGTGGGTAATGTGCAAACATGGCGCTTGTGGAGGGAAGACTCAGCTGAAACCAGCCGGAGGTCCTCTGGGGCCCATGGACTATGGTGTGTTTACTCCTGTTCAACAGCAAGGGCAAGACGGTGGTACAGAGGCACAGCTTGCTATTTCTGCAATTTTTCTAAAGGGCAGGAAGCAGTAGTGCCTCGGCCAATGTGCAATTGCGCAATGACCGTTTCCATTTGTTCCCAAAGTATGACAGCTTCGGTTTTGTCATCTCTGCTTCCAGGACAAGTTCTGACTTGACTGGACGCAGGACCTGCTTGTTTGTCTTTCTGTCAGTCCAGGATATTTGCAAAGCTTTCCTCTAGCACCATGTTTTCAGACTCATCGATTTTCTTCTCATCTTCTTTCTTTGCTGTCCAGCTTTCACAGCCATACATTGTCACAGAATCACAGAAGAGCAGAGTTGGAAGGGGCCAGGAAGGCCATCGAGTCCAACCCCCTGCTATGGCAGGACACCACGTCACACCCTCACCACTGTGATTGGGAATACCATAATCTGGATGATCAGGACCTTGGATTCCAGGGAAATGGCCTTACACTTGATGATCTTTTCTAATTCCTTCACTGTTGCTCTCCCAAAGTTTCAGTCTTCTAATTTCTTCGCTGCAGTCTCTCTTCAAATTGATGACTGAGCCAAGGGATGTAAAATCTTGCAAAATGTCCATTTCTTCATTATTGTCCTTAAAATTATCTCATTCTTCTGAGATCATGAGTTTCGTTTCCTTACCATGTAGTAGCAGTCCTGCTTTTCTGCACCTCCTTCTTTTATGCACATCAAGAGTTATTTCGAGTCATTGTTTCTTTCTGCCAGTTATTTATTTATTTAAAGTATTTATATGCCGTCCTGTCGCTAAAGCCATAATATGCGCTCATCTCTATATTTTAGATTGCAAATCTGCAAGTAAAGGGCTTGGAGGGTCCTTTTGTTTTGTTTTATATGACATTTAGATTTTAGGTACTTTATAAAAACAAACAAGCTGAGCTACTAAAGGCTGTGGAAATTTTTCAGTATGATAGAACAGAATTTAATAGACACCTCCAATCTGAATACACTTCACTAATTAATCTAAGCACGAGAAATGGGGCGTATCTATTACATTATATCTTTTTGTGGGGGGTGAGAGAATCTGAGCCCCAAAACCATTTTTTTCACAACTGTCATTATTTTGTGTATGTGTGCACATGATTCATATACAGTTGAAACTGTACTAATTTTCTTCCAGATTGTGGCAATAAATGCTTGCTTGAGTTGGTTAATATTCACATGGGATTTAATCCAGTTCAGTTCCAATTCATTAGGGAAACCTCACCCTAATTCATACTGCATTTTGCATTTGCTTCTGTGATAATAGTGCTGTTGTACTCTGGTATACCAGTAGTTGGATTAACCATGTAATCATCCAATGATCTACTCAGAAATAAGTTCTAAGCACCCTTCCAAATACACCTAGACAGAATTGTGCACCTGAGCCTACAAGCAAGAAAATTTGTCCGATTTAATGTCAAACATAGTTATAAACCACTTTTTCTTTTGCCAAATTAGGGTGCCATGGCACTGGCCACAGTAATGGGCTGCACACGACCTGTATTTTGTCCACTTCTGACATACATAAACACCCTAAAATAGGTAAGGTAAAGAAGCACAAACATTTAGGTGAGCCCTCTGTAGGGTTAGGTTTAAATGGAGAATTGAAGTGCATGGGTGGATTTTTTGTCAAGTGTTAGCGATTTCTCTTCTTCCTTTGTCTTTTCTTCTTTTTCCAACGGTGGCTCTAAAGGAGGGCAAATAACGGTGGCAACTTAAAGCCAGTGGAATGACCAGCTGGGCCGAACTTTCCACTGCTGCAGAAGGAAGGATTTCCGGTGTGGAGGAGGAGGAGGAGGTCCGCCCGTGCCTGTGGCCCTGGGGTACCCTACTCTTTAGAACACTGTTCTCTCACGGTGCTCCTAACCGGCAAGCTGGAAGGCCGTGCCGTGAGGGAAGAACGGCCGAGGCGGCCTTGGCCTTCGTGCCTCCTCAATGTTAGCTAGATGACCGTGCTTGGGAGCGAGAGGGAAGGATGCTGCAAAAAGGGATCCGAAACTGTGAAGCGCTAAAAAAGAGAAATTGCGCAAAGCGAACAGGTGTTTTCTTTGATTCCTCATGTAATTTCTAGCAGACTGCAGGGATGATTCTCAGGCCACTGATCCACTCAATAGCCCTGTACTAGCTCACAAATTCCAACGATAACAGGAATAAAAAAGTTAGGATAACTTGATTAGGAGATTAAAATATCTTCAGATTCCTCTACTGCTATTTCCTACTAACCAAGCAGTTAAATTACTCAATAACATTCAAATTAAAGAGCTATACTTTAATAAACACAGGGTAAAATTTTCTCCGCACTTGGGCAGTATCTGTCCAGAACGGAATTCACAGCTGTTCCACTTTTTTAATGGAGAAAACATTAATCAAAGCTTTACTTATAAGCTTTTCTAATGTTGTTTAGTATTCCAGTTCAGCAAAGATCAATAGAGGCCGTTCCCGCCTCTTGACGCCTCTCCAGGAAGCAGAGGTGTGATTATGTAAATAGCACGGGTTCCCTCTACTTCTGCCAGCCTGCTTATCTCCAAAGCCCTTCTGCCTGCTGCCATTGGCGACCAATGCAAGTGCGGCGGCCACCTCTTATCTCTAAACAAAGCTCCGAAAAGCCCAAGGACTGGAGCCAGCAATGTTAAGCAGAGCTGCAGGCCTGATTTTATTTGTAAAGTGATTCATTTCAGTAAATTTAATTTATGATATATATTTCTTAGTTCAGATGCACAGATAGCTAGAAGAAGAGAAAGAAAACAGATGCGCTCAGACATGCATCAGGGTTTGAGATAATCCATCAAATTCAACAATCCAACACAGCCCCATAATATAATTAGGAGGAGTTGGTTGCACAAAATGGGCATAAACAGGGAATAAAGGAATTTATGTTAAGAAATCCATCTGGCCGTCTCATTTTCTTCTTGCTAAAGGACAATGACTCATGAGATGGCCCCTCGAAACAAAAGCTTTCTTTTAAAAGCACATACAGAAATATAATTAACATAAATGCATCGTACTAATTTTGAAAGCCCTGTAATGCACGGCATACACAAAAGCTTGGCTTTAGGATTGCCTGATAAAACAGCAACTTTATCCTGCCCAGTGCTAATCCTTGGTACTGCAGAAGCATAATCCCCATTTAGCATTAATAGCAATGGCTTATACCGAGAGGGACTATTTTTCGATAACTATGTCCTGATTCGCGAATAGCTTCTGAGCAACATATCCTCAGCTCAGCGAGAAGTCTGCACTCCTGAATGAACCAGAACACATCAGTGAGAGAAAGTTCATTAACCTTGCTAGATTCAGGGGTTAACAGGATAGGAGAAGAAAGGGACGGAGTGAACAGCTCTGATGCAAAACAAATTAAAATGAATGTCATCATTTCTTTTGATATTCATTAGCTAAATCGAAGGGAGAATGCTCTTCTTAAATTTGCAGCCATTTATCAGTGAAAAACAGGTGTACATCTGTCATTCAAGTGCCTCTTGGTGTGAAGCAACAACAGCTACACCCACAAGTGAGACTCACCGCATCCGCTCAGGGAGTAACTGGGACAGGGCGAGAAGACCTGAGCGGCAAAATCCTCGAACGTCATTACTTCTTTGTGATTTAGGATTATTGCTTCAAGGTACAGTGCTCTTTCTTCATAACTGAGGGATGGAGGTTAAGGAAGTGCGTCTGCTGCAGAGACACCGCCACGCAAACTTAGAATGAGCCCATGCAATTTGCAGTTGCCACAGCATGTTGTCAAAGCCCTAGGATTCCAGGAACCGAAACAATTAACCCACTTCTAAGTAGCTAAATATAGGCAGTATTAACACAGAAGCTGTATTCTTCAGCTAAGTGCTACACTGATGATTAAAACTCTGCTTTCTGAACTGAATTTGAGTGGTTTCTATAAGCGACAAATGAAAACAGTAATTATACAACTAGGAGGAAAATTCTTATAGCTGAAACATACAACAGAAGCACCACAGAGTTTCCTATAAAAATAATCCCCCCTCCCCAAATATAATTAAATGAGCTGCTGGATTTGGGAGAGGAAAATCAGGAATGAAAACTAGCTACTTTATTTGAAATAATTCTACCTCTTCTTCTTTGGTATAGTGAGGTCACATTTAAAGTCTATTTTGAAAGATTTTCTTGCTATATTAGACATCTCTCATTTCTTGATGTCTCCTAATTAGAAAGAGAAAAGAATGTGTGTACACTCCATTCTTAATTATGCTGACAACAAAGCATCTAAAACCAACACTATCGCCTTTTAATTAAAACCCAGCAACCTGGAACACACACCGTTCAAATGCATAATCAAAAACCAGTCACCAATAAAACTTACAAGCGTAACACACAGAAGCAACTTTCCAGCTGTCTGAATAGGACCCCCGCTTGTGATAGCTTTTCACAGCGGACAGAGCAAATCTCTCTCTTTGTGTCGCTTCTGTGTGCTTTGAAGGTGAATCATGCTCTTCAAATAAAAGGATAACATTTTGAGCAAATCTACAGCGGATTAAAGTACCTTGCCTAGGACTTTATGAATTAAATGCTCAAACCGCCACTATGACATCATTTCCTGTGGGCTCGGATTAAATATAGGTTTTTCAGGCATTTCTGGTGCTTCTTGCAAAGTGGGGTGATGGCTTTAGCTTTTCGTGGCACCTCCATGAAAGGAAAGATGGGGCCAAGGCTGATTCATGCCATTGGAAAGTTTTCACGTATTAAATGTGCTGGACGCCACCTCCATGAGGATAAATCCTAGACCTTCTTGGCCACAAATATCCAGGTCAACCCGCCATCACATGGAAGACCCCAACCCCCCCCCCCCAAAGAATAACCAGCTTTTTTATACAGACGTCCTGCGTTATCACAGAGGGCTGATGAAAAGGAGTGTGGCAATCACAGAATGTACCTGCTGACATTTTTAATTTACTGCTGGCTTTTGAAGCCCGTGGCTATCAGAACAAGCCTTGGCCGAAGCATCTTTGGGGGCTGCTCCGCCGCCACAGGCTGAACTTCGGATGACTCTTGCTAATGAATAGGCTGCCAAACTTCCTACGAGAGGAGGCACACGCCTCGGACCAATTCTAAAGGGGCTGACGGATGCCATTCACATCTCATTATGAGCGTGCTTATTCTGCACAGCGCTCGGCTGTTGCCAGGGCGTGCGGCTCCGCGGTGGCACAGCAAGCCGCTGGTGCTGAACAGTGGGAAGCGAGGTCTAAGTGGCCGTCTGGTGCACAGACTTTCTGACACTAAACCGGCACGTGTGGGCACAGCGGGGTAAGACCACGGCGTGACAAATTACTGGGAGAGCTCGGCTAAACTTATGGCTGAAAACCACCTGAGCCTGCAGGCCCACTCGCTGCTTTCAATCCCTTTCTGGCCCTTTCAGCCTGGCGTCTGCTCCTGGTCTTGGTTCAATGGAGGCAAATAAACTGGGAATTCTTTTCACGCTGAGGCTAATAACGCCCGATAAAAAGGAGACTCGCATCCATCACATAAGCGTACAATGCGGTCCGCGGAGGAGGCGCCCACGTGCATTTTATTAAATACTGTCTTAAGAAGAATGGCAAATTAATTCCGACGGGAAGGAAATGAAGAAGTGAAAAAGCTATTTTTGAAAAGAGGACAACATCCACAGTGTAAGGATGGGCCATCAAGAGCCTTCTCAACAACCTTTGCAAATTAACAGAGAAACGTGTGCAGAAAAAACTCGAAATGCCTCATGCGACGCCTTCGTTCATTTCTTCTTTTGTGACAGAAATCAGCTTATAAATAAGCAGCATTTCTATTAGATGGTCTACAATAGCCAGAGACTAGAATAAAAGCATGAAGGAAAAGGGAAAAGAGCAGGGGATGGAGAGACCACTGGCTTTACTATTGGACATCGCTCCCAATTACTGGCTACGCTCTGCATGTATAGGAAAGATTAGATTCAAATTGCTCTTTAACCTTTATTTTATGTTTAAAGGAACTGGTCAATGCATGCAGATATCCTGGTTTTTACTCCTGAACATATTCAAGAAGTATTACATTACTTCTAGGAAAAAGGTCTACTTCTCCCTACATTTTAAATATGCTAAAGTATTCCTAGCAAACATGGGAGGAAATGTTTTGTTGTATCCAAGTCTCTTACACTAATAAGACATTCTTTTGTTTAAAACAAAAGTTTTAAACTTTGGTTACCCTCCCAGAAACCCTTTAGCTATTGGGCAGCATAAAAATGAAATGAATGAATGAGTGAATAAATGAATGAATGAATGAATGAATGAATGAATGACGGAGGACAATCAAAGAGAAAGGCAAGGGAAATTATTCTGGGTATCTGAATGAGGGATGCTGCTAAGATGCCATCTGCATACCTCATCAGACAAAATACATTGCTGGACAAAGAGGACATAAGTTTGCGTTTGTTAATTTGTATCTATAGGTGCAAATGCAGAAATAGTTACTATGATTTAAACAGAAATGCGTGTGGGTCCTATTGATTTCCCAGGTGCTAAACGTTCTGGGCAAATTCAAGGCGCTCGTTTCCCCTTGGACTGATGTTTTATTTGCGGGCCAACTGGACAGGACAGACCTCTAAGCAGATCATCGGTGGACTGTCTTCTAAGGAAGCCCTAATGTAGGAGGCTAACGGTGTTATGGATGCCTTTCATCCTATGTTGTAGGAAGACGGTCTTTGGGAGCTTCACCTGCCTTCTGGACCTAGGACCCAATCACATCTAGGTGAGGAAATGGTACCTTTTCTCTGAAGAAGAGAGGACACGGAAAGAAAGAATGGTTTCAACATCTCGGATCCCCTAGCTACATTTTCTTACAAAGCATTTTCCTGGCTGAAACAAGCAAACAAAAACTCCAGTCTCTTTAACGGGGTTTCAGTCCAAGTAGAGTACTCCGCTCATCCACCTAAAACTGACTTCAGAAGACTGGGGGACCATCGACAGTGACTTTTTCCTAAATCTGCTTTCCATGAATGCCTGCACATCAGCATGTTTACTTCACTTGTCCTGTGAAGTTCAATTCTAGTTCAAGTGAACCTCTGAAAATTTTGGGCAAAATACCACTTGATAAATTTGTGATCTCTTAATTAGGTCTGTTTTGCAACCAAAAAACTGAGCTCATCCTTTGCAAATCTAGTGTAGAAAGATCTTCATTTCACCCAACCCCAAATCTAAACTACTTTAAACAAACAATAAAATAAAAGTAAAACAGTACATCTCAGTGGTTCTCTTTGGCCGTATAGACTCCAAACCTTATGATAGAATTCAAGGACTGCAAAAAGGTTTATAGGCTGTCTTTTGTCACTGAAATCATGTTGAACTTCCTTCCCATCAAAATCATGTCTCCATTGCTTCACGGATTTCAGTATGAACTAAATTTCACTCACTTCGTCTGGATCCAGCTAAACATTATTTCCTGAGGCTCAAGGTTTCCCTTAAGGAATCACAGACTTTTAATGTTCTAATGTTTCTTCAGTTTGTTTCGAAGGAGAACCACCACCACCACCACATGGTCCAAGAGCCCATGTCATAAAGACGTATGTTATACGGTACAAAAGATCTGATTATCTGGACATCTTCCAAATGTGGCACCTCCAAAAATACCAGTCTTACACGCAACTGCTGGCAATACCTAGGAGGTGGCAACCCACCAACCCCCTTCTCAGGTCCAGTAAATACATCATCAAGTACATGGACGGAACAAGCCACAGCTGTTGAGCTGTTGTATTCAACTCTGCGTATTCCCAGGCTACCTAATCTTTGTTGGGTTCTGACATCTCCAAACAGGGGACCATTAATTACATCATAAAGTAAATCACTGACACGGATACCATTTGATAAGAGATCTGACTGTTTTATATGGGGCTCATCCCAAAACGAACAACTGATACGATCAAAACAATTTCCAATATACTTAATGGTAAGGGACTATGTATGCTGCTTCTGAAATAATGAACTATTTTAGGAAGAGAGTTCAAGTATCACAATAGTTTTGCTATGAAGACTTCTTTTGCATTTTTAATTTCAACCATCATTAGCATGCAAGCCCAGGAGAACTCAACATAAACTCTATACCTCATACTCCAACTCCAAAGCCTTAATGAAGAAAAAGAGGTGCTGCTTTCTTTCAAGAATCTTCCCCTTTCTTGAACAGGTACTACAGAGTCTATCCAATGAAGCAATGGCATTATGACACACTGATTATGCACATGAATTTCTAGCTTTCTCAGTCTTAGGAACCTTAAACTGGCCTTTGAGTGTACGCCTACTTCCTTTCAAACATTTCTCTGATCAATCACTTTTTCTTAGTGCAGTAAATTGCCATGTTACTAGGTGAGAGATGACTTCATGGCAATAAATCAATTGTGAATCTCTAAATTTGAAGCAAGTTTACTACAATTCTCAGTATGGAAAATGCAACTCATTTCTTCCAGGGTTCCAAGTAATATCTTGAGACTAAGAATCATGTAACCATCCAGAGATCCTGACTGGATATAAGATGGGATATAAATGTTTTAAATAAACAAATAAACATAATCATCAGATTTTCATTGCTTTCACTAGAAACAGCAGAATGATGTCTCTGAAATTATTATTTCTTAGTGCTCCAGTGAAATCAGAAGTTCATCTAATTTCTACTTCAGAAA